TCCGCCGCCCGCCACGGGAAGTTTGCAAAAGGGGAAAGAAAAAGCGACGGAGCGAGAGAGCTCGGGCGAGCGGGACGAAAGCTCCAGAGCTGCTCATGGTGCGGGCAGATGTCAGTATCCCTCCGCGGAGCGCGTATTTATGGAATGCTGTCAGCACGTCATCTGATTTATAGCAGTTCGCACAGAGGGAAGAGCAAAGGGAAAAAAGAAAAAGAAAAAGAAAAAGAAAAAGAAAAAGAAAGGCACAGAAGCACCACAAACTCGTCTCTTTCATTGAGAGGCTTCTGAACGTGACAAGGACTTTATCATTTTGCAATTTAATGCTGCATATTCTGCCACGTGATCATGCAGACGATATTTCCCATTTCTTTTTTTGCACCGTTTATTGAAAAATAAAGAAAAAAACTTTAGGTGTTTCGTTACGCTCAAGGAGTGACACACTCTTTTAAACATTTGCATTCAGCCACAGCATAGCATTCACTAAAGACACAATTCCGCATCAATATTGCTTCCCAGTGCCAGCGGCATAGGCACTGGTTCAGACAGTCGCGAGCAACGCATCGGCCCAGCTGGGCTCCCTCAACTTTACAGATTTCTTCAAAATTTACTCCAAAAGTACGAAAATCAGAGCCAGGGATTTTGTGTAAAAACAAGCTGGGCTTTACAGTTCTCACTGGGACAATTCTTTCCAAAGGCTAAATGCGTACCACTTACCATACATTTTGCCTTCATCTGATAAGATGATTTTCCTCCTCCCACATGGTGGATAGATAGCTAGAGCCTCCTGAAAGCTCTGTTCAATGTCAGGGCTCCAGACACCTTCTGCATCATTGTCAATAGGTTTATCTGCAGAATCACTCATTCTTTCAATGTGCCCCCCCCCTGCCGCTCCAGCTGCTGGGCTCAATGGTGATGGCTGGGGTCTCCAAGCCTAAGCCTGGAGTCTTACAGGATATATACCTACGAAACAAACAAACAAACAACCCCAAAAGGCATTAAAGGCATGGAACTTCAGGCAAGCGTTTCTGTCTACTTCTGACACTAAGTTAACAGCAGCTGAGCAGTAATGGCAATAACATAAGCATAGGAAGCGCCCAGGAAAAGTAAAAAAATTAATAACCATTTTGCCCCAAATCAGCAGAGGTGGAGCGATAAGGCTGTCAGAAGGCAACTCTTCACCACGTATTTTCTGCGTACAATTACATGAAGGCATAGAGCATCGGGTTATTTTTCACAGATAGTGAAAGTGGGTCTTAATACCGGGGAAAACTCTGCAGCACATGACACATTTCATCCGGCTGAAGACTGGCACCCTTAAAATAACGACCCACATCCTCAGGCAGGGGTAAATCAGCATACTTCCAGTGGCTGGAAGGGAGGCACATAAATTTACGCCAAAGTGACCACCAGAGCCTAAAACCACTTAAACCTAAAAACAAAAGCCAAAACTATTGTTCACATTCATCCGGATGTCAGTGGAGTAAATGGAATTACACTAGCGATGACACAGCTCAATGTGATTAACTGGAAAAGGCTGTAATTTTCAGATTTTACCCAAATAAATAATACAATCAGAATCTGAGCTACATACAAACAGAAATCTTTAAAATGAGAATACCAGAGGAAGGCACTACAAGAAAAGATATATACTTTGCCTGTTTTAAAAGGTCTCTGTCACAGAACCATAGCAGAACAAAAATTACAAGCTTCAAGTTGCTGAATCAATTTAATAAGAAATAATTTAATACAGCTGCACCTGCTCACACAACCAGAGCTGCAGCTCCGTCAGTGTTCCTTTTATATTTTTGAGAGAAATACAACTCTGCTATAAAGACTTGCTCCAGGCTAAAAAGCTGCTATACCAGACCAAATTCATCTCTGGTGCAATTCTTCAGTTAGTCAATGAAATAACACCAGGAACGGATTTGGCTCAACATGTCTAGGCATAAAGCAGTTTTACGTTGAAAAACGAAGAAGTTTGGTGACTCTAACTGATCTAAGTGGATGGGAGTGTTCTAACATGCATGCATGAGCTGCACACGCAGTTAAAAATCCAGTTTGTTGGCTAAACACTCAAAAACCCCTAAACTATAATATTTTTATTCTGCTGGGGGAGATGAAAGCAGGCCCTTTCCACACACAGAAGAAAAGGGCTTCCCCTTCTGCACACCTCCATCCTCACGCTGATACATGAAGTGGGGTCTCAGTATGTCGTAAAATAACAGGTGACAAGTGGCAGAACAGCATTCACCCCACAGACAAAGAAGGGGAGGCTGTACATCGGAGGCCATGACAGCTCTGATGAAACACCTTTGGGCTGGAGAACTCCCTGAAAGAAAAAATATTTACAGCGGCCCTCACCTGAACTAACCAATCACTAGAGATAACCAAAACCTGATAGTCCAGTCCCTCGGAGGCTACAATGGCTTGCAAAAACACAGAGCTGAAAATGGGGGAACAGGGAGTAATCTCTCAGTCTCACTAACCAATGTTACCGGTCTGACGTCCAAAGCATGGGGTATTTCCACTTCTCCAGGCTGTAACAGGAGCTCGGAGGGATTGGAACATGCAAATGGACGCCCAAGAACTTTATTTTCCTTACTTGCATGTCTGTTTCTATAAAGAGGCATTTCTTAACTTCCCGTTGGTTTGAACATTTCAGCACAGTTTATGAAAATGTTCATGCCTACCCACCAGTAATCTCAAGGCTAATCAGTGTCTTGAACGCCTTTTAATAACTGATAATGAGAGAGCAGATGGATTCACAGGGAACCACACACAAATGATAAGTGAGTGGGAAGTCTGGCCAAACACACCGCTTATGGTCTGGAAAATCCAAAACGTACAAAATTTTGAAAGTCTCGTGACAAAAAGAGAGATGCAAACTTTTATAAAATAGTGAAACGTCATCCTTCATAATTCTCCGAAGGCTGAAGGGTTGATTCAATCCTTGCAAGATTTGAACCTTGTACGTGAGGTTTAGCTGAAACATAAACACAGCAATACTGGGAAAGGGCTGACAAAACCAATCATGTCCACTTAAGCCTTCAAATACAGGGGGAATTTTAGGTAAACGAAAGGTAATTGAATGTTGACTGGGATAATTAGGGGGGTTTCAGTTTTACTGCCACAGTGCAGAGAAAAATGGCTACTGGAGATTTTATTGGCCTCACATGATTGAGACCACCATTTAGCATTTCACCAGAAGACAGCACGGAGTGGGACTGTTTACTAGGTCAGTTCTTCAAAGGTGACTCAGGTGAAATCCTTCCCCTCCTGGATCCCGGGCACAACGGCATGCAACACACAGCACAGCCACGGGCATCTGTCGCTCAACCCGACCACTCTGCTTACAAAAATCTGCCTCAGTCATAGCCTCAGGTCTTATTATCATCCTACAAACCAGGCCTTGTTATTACATTATGCTGAAATAATAATTAAAAAGCACACAAGGAAAACAGAGAGGCTCTAAAGTAATTAATGGTACCTGATATTCATGTTAGATCTTGCATTGTGTTTACTGGCGAATTTTCACTAATGTGCTATCTCCCTTCCCGTTCCTTTTTACCTACTTGGATATCATCTTGAGGCATTAGTAGCTACTATTCTAGCCTCTAAAATGTTAGACAACCAAGTGTTCCTTCCAGAACATCTGTACAGTAGGGGTGGGGAGCAACCTGCTGGAAAAAATCCCTCTTGTACTAAAGGTTGCTTTTAGTGATTTACATTTTGGTGAATGCTGATGCTGCAGATCAAGCTGGAGGACCAAGGAGCAAAACACCTTGTATTACAACCACTAAATGGCTCCCTCTTATTTCAGGAAAATAATGAGCTACTCAGTTAATCACTTTCAGCTCAGCTCTATGTATCAAAAGGTAATTTCACCTCCTTCTTAGCTTGAATTCTAAGGACCCAACTGTGATGAAAAATTTCAGACCTGTTATGCCGAAGTTCAACGTGATTATCAAAAATAATACAAGCTGTCAATAGATGAGCTGTGTTGCACATTTCTAATGAGCTATCTCATGTGAAAAACGTAGATTTAAGGTCCAATTTAAATTTATAAATAATTAAAAATAAAAATTTTTAAAAAGCAAGCCTTCCTTATATTTGCAAACTCCAAATCTTACAATATCAACTTCCAGTGGAGGAAGAGTTAATCTCCTGGAGGTAATTAACCCCATACCCCCACCCACCCCAAAGCAGAGCTTGCACACATGACAGATCAAGTTGGAGAGTTCTGTATTTGCTTTTTATCATGTTAACTTTCAGAGAACCAATTTCGTGCTTGTACTTTCTATTACCAAAATTAAAACACTTCAACACTACCCAGAAACACAATCAAAAAAAAAGAAAAACAAAAGAGCAAAACAAAAGGCTGACCTTTTTGAACTTTCTAAGATTGCTGAAAGCACACTGCTGCAAGTTTAGGAGGTCTCCAGAGTTTCCCTTTTAACACCAGTCTCTCTCTCTTACGTATTTCAGGACAGCTTTCCCTGTGCATAAAGCTCTTTTAGTTGCAAACCTGAATGCATCTTTCTTGCAGTTACTTTCTACTCTCTCCATTTAAATCAATTCTAAGCATATCTGGTTTTCCTGGTTTTCTCATGTAGTTATTACAACACTTTTTCTATGCATGACAGAGGCATGTTCCCCCCTCATACAACGCAACATTTTCCATTTAGCAATGGAGAAACTATTAGGGATGATACTGGATTTTATAGACATGTCTTATAGCAAATACATTCAATACAACTTCATGAGGTACAAGATATGACTTATTTTAATTGTGTTCACTTGGTAGAGTAACTTGAAAAGTTACTTTAAAAACTCAGAGAAACAAGGACAGCTATTGTCAGAGCTGATCAAATCAATGAATTTAACTAAAACCGAATGATAGTCTGCAACATCTTATCACGGGAAGGATTTCTTTGCTTGCATAAAACATTCTCTTATGCCTTCACTTTATGAGCAATGCAAACCTTGACTTGCCCAGAAAGCTGCTGCTCACAGACCAACAACTGAGATCAATAGCTCTTCAGGGGAGTGTGGGACAAGTGCAGATTTAAGGCCTTGATATGTTTCATATCCTTCAATACCTGCACAATGAACTAACATGGAAACATTGTCTTTCAAGAATCATCAGAGCTGAATCTTATTTGACAATATCCTGCAAAAGTTACACCATTTTCTCTGTTCAATTAATTTACTTTCTTGAATTTCAGTGTTCAGGTGCTGAATGGTACCTTCACTGAGGTATCACTTGTATACATACGTAATCACTGGAAGAGGATTAATCCTTTGCAGGTATTGGTGCAGGAACACGAGAAGGACTAAAACCATGCCTGGGTTCTGAGAGATGTCTGAGAAAAAATGGTTATGTCTCCTCAATCTTCTAAATTCTATCTGCTTGAAGGGGATCAAATGCAAATATTTTTGAGATAACCTGCAATGGCACCTGCACCAGTGTAGTTATCCGCACTGATCTTCTGGCTCTGAATGGCTGCAGAAGGCTACCAAATAATTCTTACAGCCAGCCCAATATTTCTAAAACGGGTCTTTCAGAGAAATCTCAATTCTTGAGGTAAAGATTTTGAGTGTAGAAGTGGTAAGTTACACTTTTAAGAATACATTTTTAGTTTGTGAACAAAGTCATCTTAGACGATAATGAGCAGATGAGTAAAAACCAACTAATTCTAAATTCACAGATGGCAAATTTTCTCTCAAGGCTTGAAAAGTTACAGGCCCATGGGATTTTCCTTCTGCTTTGTTCAGCAGTGCAAATCCACATCTGGAGTGCTAAGGCTTCAGGAAAGAACTGCTGGAGAGAATCCAGAGGAAGAAAGTTATCAGATCTAGAAG